ACGCGCCACACTCCCCCCCCCCCCCCCCACCCAATGTTACGTAATACCTCGTTTAATGGCCACATGTTTTTCATCATCGGTCAGACTTTTCCCCCCTCACTTGGCCCAAAAAAAAAAAAAAAGGCATTTTTTTTTTTTTATTGACTCTTACTGGCAGGAGGAATTTGGGGGAATTGTTTTATCAGGCTGTGTTTAAGATTTCCAAGTAGGACATCTGTTAGTCATTTCATTTCAGATGGGGGGATGGGGGGGGAGCATTGCATAAGAAACATTTCAGGTGGGTTCACGCAGAAGCTTTTTGACCATTATGTCGCATACTAGGGAATACTTGGGATAAATATATATGAACAGTAGATATTCACAGATTTCTGCAGGCAACAAATGTACATGTAAATCATTTTATTTCAGCGAAAATATGTTTCACTGTTGGCACTTTGCGTTTTCCAAGGTGCCCGACCCTCGCTTCCCCTTCCTGGGCGTCCACTTCACACCGCGCATGGACGGCAGCATCTGGCTGGGACCCAACGCCGTGCTGGCCTTCAAGAGGGAAGGATACCAGATCTATGACTTCAATGTGAGAGACCTGGCTGATGCGCTGTCATTCAGGTCAGTCCCACGGACCAAAAAAAAAAAATGTCTACAACGTACAACACCGTTCTTGTACTGTTCTCATTATCTTGCGAATTCCAATTATGATGATATTGAAGATATCGGTGAGCTTCACGTGTACTTTGCTGTGTCAGAGGCCTCCAGAAGCTGGTGTTGAAGAACATCTCGTACGGCATTGGCGAGATGTACCGAGGCATCTTCATCGGGGCGCAGGTCAAGCTCCTGCAGAAGTATATCCCCGAATTGTCCCGCAGTGACGTGCTCAGGTAAAGAGTGAAGAACGGACGCGAATCTCATTTTGCGGCACTTCCGTCCTGATTTGCGTTTGGGCGCAGGGGTCCGGCCGGCGTGCGAGCGCAGGCGCTGGACCGCGACGGCAACCTGGTGGACGACTTTGTGTTCGACGGCGGCGTGGGCGACCTGGGCAGCCGCGTGCTGCACGTCCGCAACGCTCCTTCGCCCGCCGCCACCTCCTCGCTCGCCATCGCCGAAATGGTCGCCGACGAAGTGGAGAGCCGCTTTGCGCTCTAATCGCGTCGGGCTAACCAGGATGTCGCCATCATGCGGGCGGGGGGGGGTTGGCGGCCGCCATTTTTTATTATTTTTTTTAAAGAATGGCTCCACTGAGGTTATCGTTGCGAGAGGCGGCGGGGACCTTGGACCGAGAAACAAAACAAACGTCTGTTCACACCCATGGACAGTTGAGAGCCAAAAGATGCGGCGTTTTGGGGATGTGGGCAAAAAACAAACTCCAGATTGCAAACGGTATCATCCGATCTGTGAACATAATGTGCTCGTAAAGGCTGAAACCATCTTTTGCAATGTGAAAATTGCATTTTGCTACATTGCAATGTTGATTTTGAATGTGATTCACTGCTCAGCTTGATGCAGCAGTCATGCCAACCACTATTTTGCCGACTTATTGCCACTATAGAAATGGCATTAAACCGTAACACCAAAGACTCCACTGCAGTATTACCACAACAAAGAAGATGGTGCAAAAACCGCACGGTTTTAGACTGAGCAAGTTGATCTCCAGACTTAAACCCGACAGAGAATGCACTTTACCCGTTAAAGAAGTGGCTCACGAGTAATACCTCAACCAATTGCAGAAGAAGAAGGATGTAATCGTCTCTGTGCCAAAGTGAAGTAAAACATCAAAAACGCACACTGTACAGAATGTGATTTATTTGGAATGAAAAGCAGCATTTTTAGGTGAGAGGTGGATTTTTAGGGCAGTTTGTTGAAATACTCAAGCATGGTTTAATTACATTTTGGAAATGGCGGGGGGTGTTTAAAATGTATATACAAAAATATATATATCGAGAGAGAGACTGTGTGTTGTCAATCTACAGTTGCTTACTTTTAATTCTTCTCTTCATAACTTGCTGCCAAGTGTCACGCAACTGCAGCGTGACAACGTGCCACTCAGGATGTCGACATATGTCGTATTTACGTCCACTCAATTAATCACATCTATTTGTATTCATTTGTTTTGACAAATAAAGGTTTTTATACAATAAAGACAAAGTATTTTTAAATGGCAAAAACCCCTGTGGTGTTTTTTTTCATTGATTTTTTTTTTTGTATGTGCCAATGATAGTGTGCTTGCATAGGCATATACGTAGCTGTACAGTCAACAGTTATCAGGTTTTCATTTTGGTAGCACCTTGTTTGTCCGTTAGGGGGCGTGCGAGCACTAACGGCCTAAATGGCTACTAATTAAAGGTACATTTGTACAAATTAGTTTTAAAGGCATTTCAGTAAAGCGTGTGTGTGTGTGTGTGTGTGTGTGTGTGTGTGTGTGTGTGTGTGTGTGTGTGTGTAAACGGACATAGATATGTATATATAAGTAAACTGAGTGCTCAATAAATGTAGGAACTATAGCCTAAAACTATCGCTTAACACAGGACATCTGTGGAATATAAATACATATTTTATACATTTATTCATTTTTTTAATGTATGGAAATGTAAAAAAAAAATTTTGAATTGTATGTTTCGGCATTTTAATACTTTTTTTGTTTCGGTTTGTGTGTGCATGCGTATCTGTGTTTCACGTTTACGGTGGTTTAATGATTTTCAACATAGAGATCAGTTATTGCATTTACTGGGGATGGAATGGAAAAAAAATAAAATATTTTAACAATATCGCATTTTTAAATAAAAGTCTTTGTTATGTAACGTCGCTATAAGTGAAAGTTACATTTGTAATAAGAGGCCATTTAATGAATAAAGCAAGTAAGACTTGTATGTTACCACAACACACATTTTGGTGGAAGAGATGTCCCTGATGTCGGGCCTTTTTTTTTTTTTTTGGCCTGCCTAATTAATATTAAGGACGCCAGCAGGCAGACAGCGGAGTTGCCCCGAACGAACATCTTGTCCGACTTCCCAAAGCGAACTAAAAACCATCCCGACTGCGTGAGCCTCCTCCTCCTGTGCCGCTCCGCTCACCGAAGACGTTTCCCCGACGGGGCTTGACCGTGTCGCCGTCGGACTTCTTCACGTTTGGACTACTGCTGTACTACTTTTTCTAGAGGAGGGGGATTTTCAACGCTTCCCAGCGGCAGAAGATGTCCGCGTGTGACGGTGAAGAAAGTGTGCCTTGTCCGTCGGGAGGCCAGCGGCGGCTTCCCTCCGCCGAGCTAACGCGCTAGCGTTTACAGGTGTCTTCGAAGGCGGCGAAGAACCGACCGCATTTCCATTTTTTGCTCGACATCGGGCTTCTTCGACGCCCAATGCCGTCACTTTATTCAACTTAACGTGCCTGTAATCATTTTAAACCGGCGAGGGTGTCGCTTTGCCACCTTGTTGTTAGCCGTTAGCCTCCGAGTTAGCCGCCGTGCTGTGTTTACACCGAACGGTGGGCTAACCCTCTCGTTAGCTTTGCCTTTGGCTGCTATCGAGAGGACCCCGGAGCTACATGTGCTTAACCCCGAATGTAGCTTGGTTTTCACCGACTTAACCCCCCAAAAAGACGTCCTCGCCACCGGGCTAGCCTGCCTGGTTCGTGTACACTTGAAGCCACCCGGCCGCGTTGGACGGACTCTTAAGCTGTGCCTGCCGCCCTGGACTGACCCACCCACCCACAAAAGGGGGCTAACTATCCGCCGGGGCCGATGCTGACAGTTCGGGCCGGAGCACGGCAACGCCAGGAGCCGCCACCACCGCCACCGCAGCAGCGATGCAGCCCCAGCAGATCTACGACTTTTCCAGTGACGAGAACAGTCACAAGTGGAGAGGCCTCTTCGTGCAAGCACTACGCAAGGTAAAGACTCCGAGCAACAACGACAACACGTCTCCTGGCGTTCATTCTCAACTTTTGCCACCAAAACAAACACTTGCATTCACTCCTTGGGGTTTATATATGCTAAGTGTAAGCTTCTCATGCGTTCTTCTCGATTTGACCAATTTATTCTCCAAGACTGATGATGATTGTGATCATGCCTCGGGCACACCAACATATGTCACCAAAAGTAGGTTAGATAATCACACGTGAGCCTCGAAGCTCACATATTTGCTGTTTTTCGAACAATAACTATTATTTATTATTTTGGTGCCATCTTTGTGTCGCGGAACTAAGGGAATCGGGGAGCTTGATTTAGACTAAAGTAGTGCTTTGCCACCATCTTGGTGACCAAGGAGCTGTGTTGAAAAGGGATACCCTGTTCATATGTATTTTTTTGCACCTAACTCAAAGTCACTTGATTTTTGAGGAGCAGCCGAGTCCAATCCGATATCTGTGCAAGGAAGAAGAAAATTCCCCTCCCGAAAGATGAGATGTTGGAAGTGAAAGAAAGTTATTCATTTTTTCCCTCCTGTTTTGAAGGCTTGATTTGCTTCATTTGTGCCGTCTTCTAAGTCGGGCTGCTGATATTGTCGCTTTCATTTTCTTCCGCCCCATCATTTGGCCTTGCCCTCTTTCTGAAGAAGCTCTCCTAAAACCTGTTTGTTTTTACAATGTGTCATTTTGTGGTATTGAGAGCAAGATAAGATTTAGAGAGTAAGCATTTTTCAAAATATCGAACCTCTTTACTGATTATAGGTCACACTAATGGCGGAAAATAATTGTGGAATGACTTGTTTTGGGCTCGTGCTTGAATATCACCCCAAAAAAACATTTGAACAGAGTTTAGACTTTTTCTGTCAATGTGTATGTCACATTGTCCATTGAGGAAGCCCAATATGGTTCCCAAGGGCCTACTGTAAATGAAACTTCCAGAAGGGGAAGTCATTTTAATTTGAATATCCTTGCTCAGCAGGATTGCAGCTTCCTTTGTCACCATCATTATCATCATCATCATAATCGTCGTCGTCAACGGCAGCGTTCTCGTTATCATCATGGCTCTTATGATGCCTTTCCCGTTTTGTCTGATCTGACAGTCAGCACCAAGTTGTCATCAGCCGCCTGCGTCTCGCTTTCTGGAAAGGGATCCATTACACACGTCAACAGTAGGGCCCGATTGTTTAAGCCGATTACGGCCGTTCAAACATCTAACCATTTTCAGAAATTGTCCGCGAGTAACACTGTTTTCATTGTTTGCCACCCGTAAATCTAGAGAATATCCTTCAATATATATCATGAAATTTTGTTTATAATGTCGGTCAGTGTGCTTCTCAATCAAAACAAATGAAATCTTTCATTTTTGCAAGCAATGTTTTGGTGAGCAATGCCAAGTTGTGCAAGGAATTGACCTGGAAGTCACAATTTTACACGGAATATAGAGTCTCAGTGTGTTTAAAAAAAAAAAAAAAAAAGAAATTATATAAAAACATAGCGCAACATGAATGTGTTAATTTCAACCACTGGTAACACAAACACATATCAGACAAAACAACAAAAATCATCAGTGGCTGCAACATAGATGGACCCCGATTAATAGGAACACTCTTCACAGAGATGGCTTGAAACATTTTTGATGCAGATTCCAAAATTGTCAAATTTTTTTTCCTTCCCCTGGCACATTTTTTCAAAGATCGTTTCCTGTTTTTTATATTCAAGTTTGACCTAGAATGCTGCTTTTACGATGCGTTGTAATGTCTAGCTACGATGTTTCAGAAAATAATTTCACCTGTTCCAGAATCGACTGTTTAATTAAACATGACAAAATATATTATTATTATTATTATGATGAAAACCTAATATGATAGAGGAATAAACGTGGGCAGATCAGGAATCAGTGCAAAAAAAAAATTCCATGTAGAAAACTTTGCTTGCATCTGATTTAAGAAAAGAAAATGTAAAAAAATTGTTGACAGGTATACTTTTTGACGACTTAAAAAAAGCTGCAACCGGTCGATAATATCGAAATTGACATAAATAAATAAACAAATAGTGCTTTACTCCTTTCTGAACTGCTGCAGTTTATCGGTATTGGCGAAACTGGCCCGAAATTTCCTCTCTGTTCTATTGACACCAAGGTCTTGCCTTATCACGTGCCGTGGGGGGGAGGTCGCGCTCCTCTTTTAGGAGGGGCTAACGAGCCACGCTTCGTAGCATCGGAGCAACATCCAACGCCGCTGCCTCGGCCGTTCCGAGACGAGCGACCGAAGTGAAAGTGGGACCAGGCAATGTGGCGCTCGCTCTGTCTTAACTTGTTACGCAAGCGCTTCAGGGGAAGTCTGTCACGCAGAGACGCAAGAGCACTTTAGGGGCTAACGAGCCACGCTTCGTAGCATCGGAGCAACATCCAACGCCGCTGCCTCGGCCGTTCCGAGACGAGCGACCGAAGTGAAAGTGGGACCAGGCAATGTGGCGCTCGCTCTGTCTTAACTTGTTACGCAAGCGCTTCAGGGGAAGTCTGTCACGCAGAGACGCAAGAGCACTTTATGCTTTTGACCCTGAGACTGACTCTCTCTCTCTCCCTCTCTCTCTCTCTCTCTCTCTCTCTCTCTCTCTCTCTCTCTCTCTCTCTCTCTCTCTCTTTTTTTTGTCTTTCTATA